TTATAACCAAAAATAATCCTTACCACCATGTTTCAATAGACACATTGTGTAGTTTAAAACTGACATCAAAACTTCTATGAGTTTCCTTAGCCTTCTCAGCTGCAGCTGCCATTGTAGAATGTAGACTACGTAAGGTACATGTACCATGTGGATGGGGCAGGTGGGTGTGGTATAGGCTTTTAATCAAGAATGGGCGTCTAAACAAGCATGGGCGTTTATTTTCAAAGTTATATGCTGTCTCTAGGCGTTTATACAGGCATGGGCGTTTATAGGGAGTAGGCGTTTCCACGAGGAAATACGGTATTAGTATTAGTACAGTAGGTATTAATAATGTATGTGCATATACATGTGCATATTATGTGTACATATGTACATGTACATGTACATGCATTTACTTCTCTGCAATGACTGATGCTGGTCTCTTGGGTACAAGAGGGTTAGATAACTCCAGCTCAAGAAGCATGTAAGTTCTAGCATCTTTATACACATGACCATCCACTTTTGATTCTAAAGAAAGAGGATAATTCTTTTAACAGGGCTTCAGTCTCTCTCTCTCATCCAGTACCTGAGGTTAGTGTCTCAGCTGCTGAATTGATGGATACAACAGAAGCTCTCATTGATGTACTGGGCCTCTTGGCAGCAAACTTTTTACCACTACCTACAGCAGTATTGGATGAATAATATACATGCATGTACACATTACAATGTACATACTGTATATGTACATGTACATGTACAATTATACAACAATTTTATACATGTACATGTACATGTATGCTCATTGTGTATGACTAACCAAAAGCACCACTTTTATAAAGTGATTCCATTACGTTCTTAGTGTGTACTTCATTAGTCCTCTCTCCCAACTCTATCTCATTGAGACTCTCAACATAATAAGCACCAAAGACACGAGTGACTCCTGGGTATAACAAACTAGAGAGATCAAGATAAGCCACTCCATGATGGGATATGGTCGTCTCCTCCTCCTTTGACTTCCCACGTCCACTGGATGAGGAGGATATACGTACTAGTTCAACTGGCCAGATGGGGGAGCGGGAGAGCTGACGCAACAAGGCTGTGTTGAGGGTCGGAGTGAGGTACGTCCGGAGCTCAGAGTTCCAAACTATTCTTGGACGACGGGACTCTGCCAGTCGTCTGAAATCAATGTCGTCGTAAGATGAGATTTGACCTGATTCATCTTCAATAGCATTAGACTCAATAACACTAGAGAAAGAGAGAGAGAGATTCATGTTACAAAGAAAGAGAGATGAAAAAGATCAAAGTAACAAAAAATAAGAAGGATATGTACATGTAAAGTATATGTACATGCACATAGAATTGTACAATTCTAAATGTATGCTATAATCAATATTACTGGTCAGTCAATGATGATAATCCTGCTGTAGCTGGACTGAGCTCTGCCCACTTCCACAGTCTCATAGACTGAGCCAAATCAACTTCACCAGCAGGCTTAATCTCACCATTAGCCATACTGAGAGGAACCAATGAATTATCCTATGGAGAGGGAGAGGAGGGTAGGCAGAGAATATAATATGAAATATTGATAGTAAAAGAGAATATACATGTACATATATGCCACGTATACATGTACATGTACATGTACATGCACATCATGTATGATGCATGATTTAGGCATTATGATTTATTCTTAAAACATTATTGTACATTTACACATGTATAATATGTGAAAAGAGGGTTCATTATATCACTTATGCATACATGTAATTATACAAAAGAGAATACAACGTACTCCAGGATTAGGTTTAGGTGTAGCTATAGTGAATGATACCAAAGGACTTGGAGACCATCCTTCAGGCAATGAATATACTCCTTTGACTCTCAAAGACATTATATTACTAGAAATACATTTAATGCAATAATAATAAAGTAATGAATGATTAAATTAAGCTACTATAGAACTACATGTATATATACATGTACATTTAAAATTTTCATTAAAATGCATACATGTACATGCATGTACATGTACAGTGTAAGTGTAAATTATTGTTGGTATAAAATTTTGATGCATAACAATTAATTATTAATTATACTGTAGTGCTATACCTATTAGAGATGTCATCAGATAAAAAGACTACTCCTTTACCAAGATTAACTACAACATCAACTTCAGGCAAATTCTCAGTCACTGGTGAGGTAGCACTGAGTGGCTGGAGGTACAGTGTCTGCTCCATATGGCATTGACCTTTAATAGAAAAAGAAAATTAATAGATTGGGAGAAAGAGAGAAAAAGAGAGAGAA